ACTTCTTTTTTCTCTTATATGTACAAAAAAAATTCTATATTTGATTCTTTTTCTTACTTAAATGAGATGGAATGGACGTGTGGATTCTACCTAATGAAAAGGTAGGGCCTTGTCCATTTCATAAAGCCATGAACGCGAGCTTTTTCCATCTTGTCTTAGTATAGTAGAAGTAAAAAGTAATAAGTATTCCTAAGGGAGGGAGAGTTTAGTCCATGAGAAAAAGATGCATTAGAAACTATTAAAGAATTTGGTAATGGGAATATATTAGTTTTTCACCGTCCAAACGGTTGCGCTTGAAGAAACCTGCATGGTTTATTCAAGTGTCAATGCTCTATTGGCAATTAATCTTGTTGGGGATTATACCCAGTTAAATCACATTTTTTTAATTAAGTCTTGGATAAGCTTTTATTACACACTCTTGTTAGGTTTCGATTTCTGTCCTTAGCCGCTTATCCAACCCCACCCTTTTCTTCCCCCAAAGAACCTCTTTTCTTTCTCACCCATCAAAAGAGGAAAAAGAAATTAAAGAAAAAGAAAGGGAATAAAAATATTATCTCTGTTATTTGCCAAGTGGTAGGAATGCATTGACAAACAACGCCAATATTAATTGTTCAATTCTAGCTCTAGATGTTTTGATATGACAAAACACATATAACTTTTCTTTATTCTTGATGCCTATGGATGTACATACGGATGTATATATAGGGAATGGAAATACATATTACACATATATATGTTTGAGGTAGGGGGTAGGGGAACTTGGAAGAGAGGAGGTAGCAAGGGCTTAGCTAGAATACAGGTTATAAATTCGGCCAAACTTAGTAACTTTAGTTACATATATTCATTTTAAGAAATCCTTTGAATATATATGTACATATCATTAATTTATAATCTGATAACTTAAAAGGACTAAAATCTCAATTGATAAATTTTAAATCCTGGCTCTCCCACAAAGGAAGTGTGGCTAAGGAAATGTTGGCATGTTCCAAGGCAAAAGAATTGCATGCATGTTACATTCTCCTCGCAGCCCATGTGATGCACCAGAGGATCGAGCATGACTTATGTTGTCTGCAACTGATTTCATTACTCCAAAACACCGTTTTAGCCTTTGGCTACTTGCAACTTTTTGATAGTGCACATCTGTTTTCTAAATTCTGTTTTGAAGGTCCCATCTTTTCTTGGCCTTTACATATAATTTATATACTATTTTTTCCACTTTATACCAAGAATATATAATATTTAAACCACTGTAAAAAAATAATGCCTTATGCAGACAACACGTCTTATGCAGAAACCGGAAAACTTGTGGCCGGAATTTTCCTTCTCTTCAAGTGGTGGGAAGAGCAAAAACTGAACGATTCCTTATATGACATTTTTCATATGATTTTAATTTAATATAGATCTCCCTTTTGTAGTCTAATCACTGATGTTATGGTCGGTTTTTTGGTGGGCCATTTGGTATGGGCATTTCTTCTTTTTAAGACCTAAAAGCAAACTTATTCATTTCTCTTTTATCCAATGTGGTAATGTGAATGACTACAGCCAATCTTCAAAGTTATTTTCTTCTTCAAAAGATCATCTTCAATCTTCAACAATCAGCAACTTATACACAAATTTTCAAGTGGATGAGATCAGTCTAATGGTCTATGTTGAAGATGAGATTGTGCGTGTTTAAAGCTAAGGAAATGGTTAAATGTGCCAGCGGTGAGAATGAGAATGTAAGCGTCTAGGAACTTTGTTTGGTATGTTTGAGACAGTACAAAACTGGACCTCAAGATTTCTTAGTGGAACTTATTTCAATTTTCACCCCCAACTTCTCTTCACTTGATTTGTGATTGTGGGGGTGGTGGTGGGGTTGGGGAAGGTTAGGAATTTGGATAGGAACACAAGAAGTAATAAACTGGTGGGGTTTTTCTTTAAAGTGGCCAAAAGTGTCAAATCCGAGGGATCTTTTCCCTTACATATATTTGATCTTGTAGTTAAATAACTTATCCTAAATGCTCACAGTTTGTGGGAAGTAGAAAAAAGAAATGGGGATCGTTGGGTGGAATGTGGTGGTCGTATGACAAAGCATCATGCAAAATTGCTATAAAAAAAAATAAAAAAAAGGGACCACTAAGGTAAATTGGGTGGAAAGTGTGACAGTAGCAGTAGATGGCCATATGGAGAAGCAGCAGATGGAAGAAGGGGAACACTGAAACAAAATCTTGAAATAAAATAAAACCAAGTACGTGCTGGATTTCCAGCCATTTAAATTTTGTATCCAATTTTCACAACAGGGATCAATGTGTCTCCAAGTGGGGGGCCTTAATGCCCTGTTTGTGCGTCTCTGTATTCTGCAAACCAACAGCAACAGAAACAGATACAGAACAGAAACAGAAACGAACAGAAGCCCTTTAGCAGCAGGCAGAGTTAGCAGCAGCTTTCTTCGTCCCCCACTCACCCCATCTTGAAATAACAACACCACCAAAAAATTTACTACAAATTTTCCACAATTCTAAGTCTGAGCTAACGTCAAAAAATTCACTGGACCCTTTATTTCAGTTTGCAAGNAAACCCCAAAATGACATAGACCTTCTATTAATACGTACCAAATATAGGTGTGTTTTTACGGTTAAATTCTTCAGTAATTCTTTTTTCGTAAAGTTGAGTGTATATTAAAAATCTGCAGTAAGTATTCAGAAATGGCTCTTCNTGTTTTTACGGTTAAGTTCTTCAGTAATTCTTTTTTCATAAAGTTGAGTGTATTAAAAATCTGCAAGATGTATTCAGAAATGGCTCTTCCACTCATCAGTACTCTCACAAGAAAATGCAAGTTTACTACTAAAATAAACTTATCAGTCAGCTAACATACTTTTGAATACCCTGTTTTTATCCTGTTTTCTGCCGCTGTTCTACTTTAATAATACGCTACTGATTTTTGCTAATATCCGCAGATGGAAGGTGGGGATCCACACTTCAGCAATATGCATATGGGCTGATGCCATCAGATCGTAATGAAACAATTGACAGTGTGTTGGAATCTAAAATTGGATCTGATTCACAAGTACGGTTGCTCGTTCATCTCGTCTGTAAATTCATCTGTACCAAGTTTTTATTCTTCTTCTACAACATTTAGCAGCGAAAATCTTAAGCATCATAATATGCCAAGTTTAGTACGTTGAAATCACCTTTTATAACAGTAAAAGAATTTTTGCTATTGTCATGTCGTTCCACCAGAGATGTCACACTTTTAAAATATGTTCAACATTTTTCCAAGGATGATAGCTCTGCACACTACAGAACAAATTCACTAATTCAGATTCTCGACTTTTCTTCTCCAAAAAAAAAAAAATGATGGTAGCTAATCTTTTCTCATTTCCAGTATCTTCTCTCCTATTCTTTCTCTTACCCCCACATCACAGATTGCCACCACAATCTACAGGTCTTTCAGTGGAAAAGGAATTACAATGGATTTTTTTGAGAAGGAATTGCAATGAATGTGTGATTAAAGTTCAATATCTTTCACATTAAGAGGACAGTGATGTGATCTAGACATCATACGTCTACTAATGCATTGCATTCTGTCATTTCAGCTAAGCAACAGTTAAAATTCCAATGGTGTTTAAATGAATCGTACCAAGGAACACCTTTATTAAATGTTTCCATCTGCACCGGTAGGCAGCATTACATGGAGAGGCAATGAAAGCCAACCAAGCTTTTATAGATACTGATAATGCAATAACAAAAGGAATTTATTCTCAGGCACCAAAAAAAAAGCTACAAGAAAAAGAGAATATTAGAAAAGGGAACCTTTCTTTATCAACCAAGCTTCACATACACACAAAAAATCACAGTAGTAGTGAAAGATCACGTCTTAATCGAGGTCTCAATCTGCCGGAACTGATAGCCTCCATATATATATATAATGATAACGTAAAGGTTACAATATATTAAATGAATTAACCAGTATCATGCACAAATTGCATGAGATTCCGAGGCACCTTGATAAATTACTAAAGCAAGTAAGCTTGCATGCTAAATGATATTTTTGGTAAAAAAAATAAAGTCTAATGACAAACAAATATCTTATTGGTTAAAGTCTTAACTCATGGCTGATCCTGGGTTCCTAGCTGCAACTTCACCTCCTTTTCAGGATTATTAGCTATGGACACCGGTTTCATGACCATGATTAGCTGACAAAAGAACAACCTCGATTCCAAATAGCCTATCAGACAGACACAAACTAGTGTCCTGCTCTGTTTGTGCAAAAATAAGATGGAACATCTAACACAAAACTTGTTCTCATCACAGCTAGTGAATAATCTTTCGCACTACAAAAGCTTCAGTAAGGATCTGGTCGTACAAAAGTTGGACTTGAGGGTTTTATATGCTATCAAATTGCCTATTCGGCCATTGCTTGCAGGAAACATTGTGTAATATCCGGACAATCTTCAGCATGGGAGTAGGTGCTGAGTAATAGTTTTCTCTGTTATCATATGAGTAAAAGATTTTGAGTTCTTATACGCCACTTTCTAAGCACTTAGGAAATAATAGTTGGTGCAAGACGTTTATATAATGAGACATGAGGGTACATTTGTAGTTTTGAGGTACCGAAAAAGATGGTCCTGATAATGCTCCACAGCAGTTTTCCATGTATTTATCTTCCATCTTCTTGGACATCATGCATCTAAACCAGGTTATTTTACTATGACATCATGGATAGGTTCTTCCTTCCAGAGGTTATTTGGGCAGAAACATCAGTCCGTGGAATCAAAAGTTTAGGGTGCCATTATGTGTACTCGAGATTGTAACTCCAGAATATATTTATTACTATTGGCGCACCTGCCATCCTCTTCATTAGGCTAATTATAGGTTTTTGTTGCATGTCAAACCAAAAAATTTAAATGGCTGGCAGCAATATGGATGAGACAAATTTTGTTATAGCCTTGAGGAAATTTGCAGCTGAAAAAAGGTAGTCCTATTTGCAGAGTACAATTATACTTGGAGATGTATGGAAATGCACAAAGAATACACACTTTATAGACTGAACATTTCTTGAACAGTTGTACTGATATTTGAAATTTGCTTTATCTAGAAAGTAGAGAACCACCAAAGGGAATTGCACAACAGCAATTTGAGCAACTAAGTAAATGATGGAACAAAACAATCTTGAATACATTATCTTGAATGCTAGAATCAATACCACGTGAGCGAAAGATCTATATTTACAAAATGGTAATACAAATTGTGGGTTGATCGGAAAAATGCAAAAAAATAGGATACAAGGATATACCTCCAGGAACTCTTCAGCCTTCGGATTGAGGAATAGTCAAAATGGCCACAACAGAAAAATTAAGTACCTGCATCAGCCAATGTTGGAGAATTACCAGCACCATCAATCTCATCTCTCAACATGACATCAACAACCTACCCAAAGTACAAAATATTATGACCCAACAGCTCAAGAAAAAGTTAATGATTGTCCAGTAGGAAAAACAAACTCAGAAGTCCCTCTAGAATGAAAACAAGTGTTAATAAGCACATGATAAAAGTTTTTTCCCGATCACAATTTTGTAAGCATGTGCATAGAGACTGCATGAGGAAAAGTTAGTCCTTTTTTTAATGCAAAGATGCTCCAAAGCATTTCTTCAATAACGTGGCTGCAGTTGAAAATGGCAGCCAGGTGCACTAAGCTCCCGCTATACGCGGAGAAAAAAATATTAATCAATCCAGTTACTCTTTGACTTTGTAGCTTCTTTTCAATGATAAAAGCCTTTTATGATCACAACTTTGTAAGCATGTGTGAAATGAGGAAAATATTATTATTATTATTATTATTATTATTATTATTATTATTATTATTATTATTATTATTATGCAAACATGCACCAATGTATTTCTTCAATGACTTGGTTAGAAAAGGATTCTAAAAAGGAGATTAATAACTATAGAGCACTCTTCAAAATTGTAATTTCTTTTCATGCTGACCTCTTCTCTTTTCTCTCTTTTTTTTTTTTTTAGAAAAGATTTGTCAACTGTCGCAAGTCATTGTTTTTAACTGACATTCCTTACTTATTTTCCTTGCTTTCTCTTTGACCAAATTTGTGTTGGCGTAGTTCTTGACTTCTTAGTAATAACTCGTCAATTAATTATACCTCAATGGGAAACTAGTTGGTATTGGCTACTTAATATCCATTGAGTTTCTTTCTTTTTTTTTCTTTTTTGTGTGTATGTGTGTTATAGGGAGATATTGAGAGTTCTTAGAAAGTTAAAAGAAATAACCAAGTATGACTTATGAAATTAAGGTAAGACTATGTTTTTGCCCGCAGAGCATTGGTCTACTGGTAAGAGCAACTTGTGATGGGTGGCTTAGGCGCATGTTATGGGTTTGAACCCTAGTGCAGAGAGAAGCATGGTACTTAAGTGGAGAAGGGTAAGGGGAGGAAAGGTCCTTTATCCGTCAAGATTTGGACCATGTATCAGCAATGACCCGTTTTCTTTCAAATGTTCATGACAAAACAACTTGATTTTGCTATTTGTATATTGGTTGGACGTAGTTCTTGACATTTGTCGTGATCCCCTCAATGCTTCTAAAAAAAGGTCAACATTACAATTCCCTGGCACGAATATTTCTCCTCTTTAAAAGCACACTACAAACATGACTGCTCTTTCCTCCTAATTCTCATGGATATATTAGGTTCAACATTTGTTAGGGGTTGTTAGGAGTCTGGTATTAGAAAATCCCAAGTTATTAAAAGCAAGCGCAGGGCTCGAACTTGTGCTAAGAGAATTTTATGTATATTTAACACTATTCAATCTCCATAACCTGAGGAAATAAAAAATGTTCGCTGAAGCTTCTTTTTATTTATCTTCATTCTTAATCTTGTCTCTTCTGGTATGCTCATACATCCATCTCAGTATCCTCATTTCCAGAAGATACCGAATAGCAGAAATGATGACGCTGAGATGGATGTGTGGCCATACCAGGAGAGACAAGATTAAGAATGAAGATATTCGTGACAAGATGAGAGTGGTATCCGTGGTGGACAAAATGCGGGAAGTGAGGCTGAGATGTACGGGCATGTGAAGAGGAAAGGCGCAAATGCCCCAGCGTGAAGGTGTGAGAGGTTGGCCATGGTGGGCCTGAGTAGAGGTAGAGGTAGGCCAAAGAAGTATTGAGGAGAAATAATTAAGCAGGACATAGTGCAACTTGAACTTACCGAGGACATGACCCTGAAAAGTAGAATGTGGAGATCAAGAATTAGGATAGAAGGTTCGAGTAACCGGGCATAGCTTTTTACCATATCAGTATTATAAGTATTATTTTTCGTTTCCCTATTCATAGATTTTTAGATTTTTATTACTTCTTGTTTCTTACGTTTCGGTTATCTTATCATCTTATCTTGCTATTATTACTGCTTTTTTTTCTTTTGTCCTTGGGCCGAGGGTCTATCGGAAACACCCTCTTTATCATTCACGAGGTAGGGGTAAGGTCCGCGTGCACTTTACCCTCCCCGGATCCCACTTGTGGGATTACACTGGGTTTATTGTTGTTGTTCATGTCTTCAAGCTCTCGGGATTTGATCTTTGCAGATTTCTTAAGATCGAAAAACATACACAATAAGAGGCATAAAATCCTCATTATTGTGAGTAATTTCTTCCTAATCTAAAGCATAATTACAAGGAAATCAGATATGCTAAGATTCTTAAAACGTAATTCGAAATGCATCATAGCCGTGATGCTTCGCTTTAAAAGGGTTGAATCAAAGTGGCTGAGGGTGCGCATTACTGAGCACAAACTATGCTCAATCAAAAGGATAGATGAATCTTTGTACAAGTGTTGCACTGTGTCGGTCAGTGGCGGAGCCACCTTGAAGCAAGATTGACACGCCTTCGTCAGAAAATTACGCCATAAAGATAGGTAATTTTTTTTTATGTATATATTATATACTACATGTTGAATCCCCTTGACTTTATCGTATATTTACTTTTTTATATTGTGATAGCCCCTGAATGAAAACCCTGGTCAGCCACTGGTGTCAGTGAGCGGCACAAGAACAATAAATTAGGAGTGAAGTGCTGACAAAGATATCCCAAGGATGAAAACTTTTTGAAGCTGATACTCAGAGTCTCCCCTGTGTTCATTTCCTATGCTTTTAGAGATATGTTAAATGTTGGAAGGAAAGAAAAAAAGAAGTCTGAGTTCGAGATAATGAATCTAGAGATGGTACAAAAGATTGAGGGGGTCACTCTTTGCATGGATGTTTGACTGATTATAGAAACAGAATTACAAGAAAGTGAAGAAACTAACAGCAAGGAAGAGGTAGAGGCTTCATTTTGCAGTACAATGCAGAAGCTCTGTTTACCCTCTATTCTAGTTCAAAATTGGAAAGGAAGTGAGCGAAGCAAGTATGAATTAGAGCCCTACTAAAATGTCCTTAAGTGGAAAAGATGGTTCAAACAGCTTATTTATTCAGAAGACCAGACATAGATAATTTATATGCGGTGGACAAATAGATAATAAAGGAGTTCAAACAGAGACAATAGCAGCAGATACCTCATGGAAGGATCTTGGGCTTCTCAACCCGTGTTCGAGGAATTGCCAAGATGGCTACAAGTCCACCAGAAAATGCTGAAAGTGCAGCTACAACAAAGGCTGGTGAGTTGCCACCACCAAATAGCTCATCCCATGGTCCACTTCCAAGTGAAACCACGATCTGTGACCAATAACAAAATCTTTCATTCACTGGCCTATATAACTTTAGGAAAATGATAAGATACATGCTGCAAAAGGTGCAACGGACATTCCTCATGGAAACACCTATGAGAATACTAATGTTCAATATTCACTTGAATGATACTATAAATTTCCATCATTGCGATATTCCGCTCCTTGCCTCATTTTCTTTTTAACTCAAAACGAAGGGCTAAACAGAAAACAGCTACAAGATAAAACTGAAAAGACGCAACACAATGAACTTGTGGATACGCATCCATCGACATAAAGGCTTTGATATTTAGTCGGACCACCTTTTGGGGATTGTTCTTGTTCCAAAAAACCCATAGAAAGAGAAGCAAATTTATACCTGTGGGAACACAATTGCCAGGTTCAGAACGCCCATTGACAAGCCTGCAAGGTTGAAGTAGCAATTGAAGCACTACTTTCTATTTGACCTGCAGAATAATGATCAAAATAAACATAACTCAATCTACCTTGTCCTAGCCCAAGAGCTTCAATCCTTGAGGATACCAGAGCATATGGAACACTGTATGTTATCTGCAGAAAATGGCTTGCATTATACAATAATATACCTAAATAAAGCTCTCTCTAAGCCCACATGAAACTTGTGTTTAAACTGAAGCCTTCAGAAACAATAACCTTGCTCCAATTTCCTTCCATATCATGTTACATTTGACAGGCATATTACATGAAAAGAATATCTCAGCCAAACTGAATACTTATGTACATTTTTCAACAGTAACAAAATCTGAAAAGGACAGTTCACTTGTACATCTAACTTTTTTGTTAGAATCTTTCTTAGATAAACAAAGTCAAAGAGCTAGTCTTAGACTTGGTGATGAAATCTCAAAAGTAGAAAAGAAAAAGACAGATAAAAGGCTGGTTGTCCATAATAGAATATCGGAGAAAGAAAATTTTATGTGATTAAGAGGTGTTCTAATTTCAGTAATTCTACACAAAAAAATTGTGTGATTTAGAGGTGTTCTAATTTCACTAGTTCCACACATAAACCTGTGTGGTCGTGCAAAACAATTTCTAGTTGCAACTTGAAAATCAAGCAACTTACAGCTAGTGGGATCCCAAGAAGAGCAAATACTATTAGCGCAGCAATAACTATGCCATCCGGAGGAAGACCCTGGCCAATGTCTATGTTACTCCTAACTGCAGTAATTATAAGCATTGCTATAAAGCAGAGAGACATGACAACATTTGAAACTCCCCATGTGAAACCAGCCCCCCATTTTCGACAGAGCTTCTCCATGAGCAATGAAGTTACTCCAAGAAGCACGGAATTCAACATTAGACCCAATGAACCCATTCGGACTCCAGCACTGTAATTCTTTCCATCATTTGGTTCCCCGCCATAAATTTCTCGACCAAACCAGTCAGTATCGAACAGCAGAAATGGAAACCAGCCAATCCATGTCAGGGCAGTGACAAGCAGGATCACCCAAACAATACCTGGGAAATATTTGAAAGTTCCAAACAATTCCCAGAGAAAAGCTTCTTCTTGGCCATGGCTTGTTTCGGAAATCTCTTCTCCAGTATGAGAGGAGCAATGATTGGGATCTAGAGGCTGCTCATTCGCTGCCGATATGCTGATATATGTAGTTGTTGCAATAAAAATAATGTCGAGAATAAAAGCGGCCTTTAGATTGGCACAGTTGATGGTGCACGCAGAATTGAGGGTGAAAGGGAAGATCTTGTACCAGCCGCTGTAAGATCCAGTTGCAAAGCCAAGGATGTTACCAATGGCCATAAATAACGAAAAGTATGCATTTGCTACCCGAGTTCTTCTATGATCCTTCACTGCATGTTAGAAAGCATATAAGATGTCACTAGCTTCAAGGCAACTTCCTGATATAAATACACAAAGCAATGACAATGGAGTCTACGGTACAAATTAGTAAAACTGATACATCTCGCCCTGAAAAATTAAGCTCTGCCAAGCATTTTCTTTTGGTCTCCTGTATCAACTCTGCAATAGCACCATCTCTCCATTCATTCATCCGTGGAGACCCTCTATTGCAAAGCCCATAAGCATTGTTAGACCTAGACCGAAGCCGCCATTTTCACCATTTTGGCATTCTTACACTTTAGTGTTATTTTTTTTGATAAAGTAAGTTGCTTCATTGAAAGGCATCAAGCAGATGCAATGATTACAAAATTAAATATGCTAGCTCCATTACAACACTTTAGCGTTATTTTATCCCAAATGGTTGTAGCTAGGGGCCAAATTCAATAAAATGCAATTTCATTTTAAAATTTTGGTTACTCTAGTTAGCATCAATGATGATGCTATCATGCAAAGTAGAAGGAGGTTTTACTAGCTCCTTCGAAAGGCTATAAAATATTTTTAACTAAATTAAGCACATTTTTATGCATATGTAAGCAAGGATTTTAAATGCAAGAACAAGCCGAGCTTTTCAGGAGTTCTCACAAAACCCGATGGAAAAAGGAAAAGAATAAGTGCACCTCTAAAGGCCAGTATCTGTAGACTATTGGATATGTACTGCTTGAGTGATTATAACAAATTGATTTCGGACCCTATGACACCATCTTATTTTCAACTACGGAAGCAAAGATCAATAAAGTCGTTCTCAGAATAAGTGGGAAACTAACACGGGATTTAAGAATAAAGCTGCAGCTTCAGAGCTTCTTCTTTTTGGAGAGCAATCGTCTTTCAACAAAATCCTGAAGGAAGATAACAGACCTTATTTCTCCTTTTTCGTTATTCTTTTCTTGAAGGAAAAGGTGAAGGATGAGAGAGGAGCTAGTTCAGCAAGCACACAATCTCTACTTTTAACCATAATTTGCTTTCACTTGGAGATTGAGCTCATCACAATGTTCCAAAATTGCTTTCCTCAGAAGTTCTAAATATGTAAATTTGCAATTTGATTTTCTTATATGAATAATTTCTTTTGCTTCTTTTCAAACTTTCTAATTTAATTTCCAGCAGACTCTCAAGATGTGATGATCCAATCATGCCATCGACCTTAAAATGCATATGAGAATACTTGGTCGGTAGTTTTCTCTTCTTATATCAGTTCTTAGGAACAAAGTCTCAATACCATATTTTCTTCAAATTATAAAAGCTTTTTCAAGATGAACCAGGAAACTGTACGCTTATGCAGTACCCTCTTGCACGTCACCACAATTCAGAAAATGGTGCATATGTCCCTCATATTACAACTAATTGTATCATAATTCCAAACTTTATCGACTAAAGATGTCTAAACCTGAAGTTACAGTACGACTTTTAGTTTCTTCTACTTATCAAAAAGACTTCTGCTCTCTCTCTTCAATTTGCCGTTAACTTTTGTTAGAACAAGACCAAGAGCAGAATCCACATGTGGTTAGCCGCTGAAGATGGAGGAGCTGCTGCCAAACCCTTCCTTTTTGAAGGAAACTACTTTAGAGTAATAAGGACATCAATATTTTATCAATGAAGAAAAACCCAAACTACACCACAAAAAAGAAGCCTAGTGCAAGTGCGCAAGGACGTAGGAATTACTAGCTTATCCAATAGTTTTCAAATGTAAATTATTTGCTACTTCTTCCAATTCTTTTAGTATCATATGTGTGACTTGTACTGCCATGGCATTTGATTCTATTATGGTATCTAATATTGCATCTCCAGATAAAGCTAATTAAGCAAATTTGGGTTGGTGATAGGAGCAAATTCATGTGATGTTGAGCAGGAGTAGTTGCACTGACCTTCCCAAGCATGCTAAGCTAAACATCAGTAAAAGGGCAGTATGGTGCACTAAACTCTCTGTAAGCGCGGGGCACGGGAAAGGACTGGACCACATCGGATCTATGGTATTCAGCCTTACCTTCCGCTTAGCTAAACAACAGTATTTAACCTTATTTACTTGATCTTATACCTTTGCCCCTGTTAAACTATGCAATGATTTATCAAAAGTTCTCATGTGTGGCTTCAAATTTTTCATCATTTTGTGCAATGTTGAAGCTTCTAAATTTAGAGAGGTTTTCTAAAACCTTATTGACATGTACAAAATATTCATGAAGTATAGGGTTTTAAGAAATTGGGAAGTTGTTATGCAAAGTTTTACATTTACCTTTAAGCATGTACCATAAGTATGGCAAAAACAATTACTAATTCAAAACACAAGCTTCATATCTCAAGAATGAAAGATATTTTACTAAGAAAATTAAAATTATTATCTAGACATTTTTAAGTGGAAAACTGCTACTACTTTTTATTTCATGTTATTTTTTCAAGGATGAAGTACTCTATTGCAATTTAGCAGAGAAAATTTGTCAAAATGGTCACAAAACATAGGTCTTTTCATTGTTAGGAGTACAAAAACTAATTGACCAGTCAATTTTGATTTTTATCCATGCGTTGGTTTTTGTGGCACACATAGTCCTCATTTGGATTAAAAGGAAGAGATGTACTTCTCAAAATGCTTGCTCCCGCTGAAAAAAAAATCTAGATCTGCTCTTGACAGGTGATAGAGCTAGTCCATATAATTAATTACTTATCACAAGGAAAAGCTAGTCCATATAATCTTCCATTCAATTCCATAGCCTAGTTAAATTACCCTTCTATAGCTGGTAAAAAATCATCAAAATACAATATCAAATATCAAACCACTGAAATTCATCGGGAAGGATACAATATTATACTACTCTATAGTACATTATAATATACTTATATAGATACGTATGCAGAAGAGTAAAGTGCAATTATATTCCCGATGTCTTAACTACTCAATTCAACAGGCGTACATCAGCCATTTAGCCGAACGAAACAGAATTCAGTGGGTCCCACGCGCATCATTCGGCCCAGGGGCATCATTGTCCATTTGAGCTAAACGAGTGCCTAATACGTTTAACTTTGCCTTCAAAAAAAATATCTGTCGCGTTTCCATTTTTTAAAGTCATACCATGAAGAAAGCTATTTATTCCATATGAACAGAGGAAACGCTACTTTTATAAAAATACATTATTCAAAGAAAAAGTAAAATTAAAGGAGATGTTTTAAGCTTCATATTCCTTAGAAAGCACTTAACAAATGCATCAAAAATAAGCAGAAAAACAGAGTAATTCACAAGCAATAAACATACATATTTAAATATTAAATTGTAAAATTGAATTGAAAAGCTTACTGGTAAGATCAGCTAGAAGAGCTCTGCAAGGACCTTGAGTCATATTATTAGCAACATCGAGAAGCCAAAACCCTACAATAAACGCCGCTATAGCTCGCACTTTTATGTCACCTCGATCACCTAAAAGCCAGCCAATATCAGCGGAGAAACCGATGATCAGCACCGCTATCATGATCGACACTGCTCCGGCGACAATAAACGGACGCCGGCGACCGAACCGACTGGTGCACTTGTCACTCATATGACCTACTAAAGGCTGAACCAGTAAACCTGAAAGCGGTCCACATAGCCATATTATGCTTGCCCAAGCATGCGGTATTCCGAGCTCTTGCACGTAAGGTGTGAGGAGTGATAATTGTAGTGCCCAGCCGAATTGAATTCCACCGGCTACTGAAGCTACTCGAAGCAGGAGTCTCAGTGGTACTCTGGCTTTCGCTGGTTCTCGAATCGCCGCATGTCGGTTATGCCTTGTTCTCTGCCTTTCTATCTCCGGCATGGTACAAGTAACAAAAGGCCGACTTATTGATGTGTGTTACACGCGTTTCAGTTTATATTTATGTGTGTGATACTGGAGAATCGGGAGACAGAGCGGCGAGGTGGCGGGAGAGGGAGGAGAGTGGGCGGTGCTGAAAATGTAGGAATGTAGAAAATAGAAAGAAAAAAAAGTGCCCTTGTAGAACGTTAAAATTACGGGATATATTGAGAATAGTGAGCAGGAAAATAGATGATCTCGGGGCAGAGTCGTAATTGTGCAATTGGTTGTTTAATTAATTATGGGTTAATATTGGAGCTTGGTATATATGCTTTACAACTTTTGGGTGCTGTCATTTCCTACTTCTTTTATTTTAATCAATCAATGAAAACAGAAAATGTCCACTTTCTAAATTTTGACACGCCTATATTAATGAAAAGAACATATGTATGTTCTAATTTTACTATTTTCAGTAAAAAATAAATCATAATTTCCTTTATTTAAAATCCAAATTAATTTACATTATTAAATTATTCAAACAATAGTATACAGTATGCATATTTAAATTATTTTTCTAAGAGGCATGCCAAGTCGAACCAATACCAATAAATTAAATATAACGGATAGAACCAAATGATAAAAGAGGAATAGAACGTAAGGGATTTTTTCTTCTTTTAAAGTATTAAGTTAGGCACATTATTAGGTAAATCATACAAGCATCCAACCTAAGTGACATCTAGTGCCCTAAAATAAAGATTAAACCACGTTAACGTCACAGATAAATTTTGCTTTTTGATCATTATGTTTTACCTACATAACTTTCGAGTGCCCTTGATTAAAACTTTATTTCATGCTGGTAGCTTTTCTTCCCTCCTACTTTTAGCATCTATGAAAAGACAATTTCCATAGAAACATTTGTAACACGTTTGTAAATTTATGTCTTGTATAAAGCGAATTCAGAATTTCAAGATGAAAGTGTGTACCGGACAACAACTTGACGTGCAATTTTGACGAATATCGCGTTTGACCTTTGTATATTCTTATTTCCACTCTCTCTCTCTCTCCCTCAGTTCTTCCTCTCTCACCCTCCCTTCTGGCTCAACTACAAAGGAATAATATGCAGATAGTAATTCAATTTTATTTTATTGCATTAAAATTATTAAATTATTTTTATAATAAAATAATTTTTTTTTGTTTAAGTGTCACAAAATATTACTAAACAAAAAATACTCTATTTTTTATTATATTTTAGCGGAAAGACAGTGTGAGCAAAAAATTATTTGACGTCATCTAAATGAATTCTAAATCCATTAGAAATAATTCATATATGAAAATAAAAGTCCTATATGTTAATAATTTGTACACTATCAATATACTTTATCATATCGTAACACGTTGTATGCTTTAATTTTCAGTAACTAGTTCTACTTATTATTGACAATATTATTATCATTTCGGTAACCTCATAAAGTAGTATTCTTGTTCCCAAGTAAGTAAAAAAGCTTTTTTCAATATCATTGTTACGTTTAGGAGTGTACAAAGGAAACCGATAAATCGCACCAACCTGATAATCCGAGTCAAATCGAGAAAAAAAACTCGATTATGGTTTGATTTGATTTGGTTTGGTGTTGGAAAAAAAAAACCCGGCCATAATTGGTTTGGTTTGGTTTTAACTAAAGAAAGTCAAACCGAAACCAAACCAACCCGACATTATATATATAGAAATTTTAGATATATTTAATATATAAATATATTTATTGTGATGTAATTTATAAATATTTCTTAAAAGATTTCATAATTTTATCTTTTAGGATATTATTTTAATGTTGGACTTAGAACTTTTGACTGTTCCAATAAGTTTTATAGCCATTAATATTAGTAAATTAAAAAATACTAACAAAAGCCCAAACCAAAATTAAATCAATACCAATGCTAACAAAAGACATTCAATTCAATAGTCAATATTACGAACGGAATGTATTGAATATCTATTTTTTGTTTTGCAATAATTTAGATAAAAATGCATAATATATTTTTATCTTTTCTGTAGCGTTTAGTCATGTAATTAATACTCTCTTATTAGTTTACTTACTTTAGCATGACTTAATACTTTTAGATTATGTATATTTTTTTTATGGTTTTTTAATTAGCAATATTTATATTACATAATTTTATTATCTTTATTGTTGAATGTTTTAGGATAATGCCATGACACATCTCATATTTTGTATTATTTTCTTGGAAAATACTTTATATAGTTGTATCTTGCTAGGATTAAAGAAATATTTTGAGCATAAGTTATATGTTTTGTTCTATGAAGTTTTTACTGGGAAAAAACCCGAAAAACCCGAATAACCCCAAAACCCGAAAAAAATCGAGATTGAAAAACCCGAGTTTTATTGGTTTAGTTTGATCTTTAGATTTAATAACCCGACACAATTGGTTTGGTTTGATAATCGCAAAATCCGAATCAACCCGACCTATGTACACCCCTAGTTACGTTTAGCTCAATTGATCATTAGAAGTGGGAATTCAATTTCACGAATAGTTTGTTTGGCTAAGCTTCTCCAACACTAGAAGTACTTTTTCTTTTTTTTTTAAAGTTGAAGTGTTTGGCCAAGCTTTTGGAAGAAAGAAAAATATTTTTGAGAAGAAGCAGAAGCAGTTTTGGAGAAGCAAAAAAAAAAGTAGTTTCTCCCCAAAAGTACTTTTTTGAAAGCACTTTTGAGAAAAATACACTTAGAAGTACTTTTTAAAAATTTAGCCAAATTAACACTAATTGCTCAGAAGTATTTTTCAAATTAATTAACCAAACACAAACTGTTTTTTACCAAAAAATACTTTTGAAAAAAATATTTTTGAGAAAAAACACTTTTGAAAAAAATACCTTTGACACAAAATACTTCTCAAAATAAGCTGATTTTAGAGGCTTTGACCAAATAAGCTAGAAACCAATCTCCTATGGGCTATGGAACATAAGAAATGACGCTAAAGTCAAAACTGAAACCGAAAGGAGGATTTGCATAAATTCGTCAAACGAACGAAGATGATGCTACTTTGTCTTTACATTACAGACCATACTTCTGCATTTTGTTCTCTGCAGAAAACCTCCAATTTAGATGAGATACAACCTTAAAAAATAATTAGGATATAATATTATTGCATAATCTTTGGTTCTACAGGGTAAAAGATCAAGAAAAGAATATTCTGTATACTAAACTAATTAATTAGGATCGGTATTATTCAATTCTAGAAACTAATCCTTTGATGAGTTGTGACAGCAGGTCCCTCACTCTCTTTAAAATGTGTGCATACTGCCGTTTAGTTGGTGATGAACTTTTGGGTCCATTTCTAAGTTGCTCTGACACGGCAGTTTAGGTGTCGTATCCGTATCGATACGATATTAATATGAGTGTGGGTATAGGATTCGTACCGGATCTGGTCAAATAATTTTGGGTATTTTGACCACGACAGGTGAAAAAATTCGAGACGAGATACAATTTGATTCCCGAAATCAGAACCAAAACTAGGAAAGAAAATATCATGCCTTATCTAGGAAATCAATCATTTACTTATCTACAACTTGAGAATAAAAAGAAATTCACACTTTACAAGCTGTACGTAAGTATTCCTCAAAATTTCTCATAATTTAGAGATATTTTTATATTTTTATTTTTTTGAATTATTTTTTAGCCGGATCTCCATACCCGTATCCGTACTAGAATCCGTATCTTCGAGCCTTAGAATTTATACTTGGATCTGACCTCTAGATCCGCACCCGTATTAGACATACGCACTTGTGTCCGAGCAACTTAGGTCCAGTTTGAACTGAAATCTTAATAGTACTAATCATTAATTACAGCAATGGAGTCTTTCTCACAGATCCTTTTTAATACTAGTATTAGATTATTTACAACAACAACAACAACCCCGTATAATCCCACTTAGTGGAATCTGGGGAGGGTAGTGTGTACGCAGACCTTACCCCTACCTTAGGGTAGAGAGACCGTTTCCAAATAGACCCCCGACATCCTTCCCTCCAAGAACTTCCCACCTTGCTCTTGGGGAGACTCGAACTCACAACCTCTCGGTTGGAAGTGGGGGTTGCTTACCATCAGAGCACCCCCTCTTGTAAATTACAGAATTAGACTATTTACGATGATGTAAATTACAGGATTGTTTCTTAATTTGTGTGATAATGGCTAGCCAGCTAGGTAGCGGGAGAGGGAATTGAGATTTTTTTTTTTTGGTTTCCCATCCGGTGTCTGGTACCCAGTGGCGGAGGCAGGATCTTCACGAAGGGGATTCAAAAAAATAATTTTGTATCTAGCGAGAATTGAACTCATGACCTTTTGTAGATTTTGAACCCTCTTGACCACTAAATTACACTTTTGGATTATGTTAAGGGGTTCAAAACTTAATATATAGAGGTAAAAAACAAATTTGCCTTATATATAAAGTGTACCCCTGCCGATACCTGCATTGGAGCCTGACTATATCCGGATTCGCGCCGGGTAAGGCCCCATTCGAGGGGTAGCGCTCCCTACGGATTTTTCCATACTCAGGGCTCGAACTCGAGACCTCTAATTAAGGGAGGAGCAGCCTCATTCACTGCACCACATCACCTGATGTAGGGAATTGAGAGTTATGGGGCTGGAAATGGAAGAGTATATAAATGGATAAAGAAATGCCCTCGTGCAACATTAAAAATTTAAAACTAAGGATAATTTANGGGGGTAAACCAGAATAGGGTTAATTTTTTAAAATGAGAGGCTCGATAAATTTTATTCTCAGATTATCCCAATTTTTACTCGTTACGAAATTTTTATATTTTATTTGCTAAATTGCGCACCAATTAACATTAAGTTAGGCATAAACAAGTGACACGTTAATTTCAAACTCTTGTTCTAAAAATGATGACGAATCAAACCAAAACCGTTAATGTGATTATTAAAGGAAAAAAATATGAAAGTTACTCGCGGAAAAAGGAAGAGAAAAAAGAAGAAGGTGAACAGGATGAAAGGAATTAAATTTTTTCAAACAGGTTTTGCTCGTTGTGAATGAATCTTTAGGCCTAGCCCGTAGTTTTTTATACTCTAAATCAAGATTAAACAATGTTGTGCATTATTGACAATTTTTGCTTTTTAAGCTTTCTATTATTATGTTTATCTATCATTGCTCAAAGTGATTGATTATTTAATAAAACGTCTATTCACCTACTAGTAGCTAGCACTTCATTCTGATTTTCAAAGTTAGTGGTGTGAAGCATTATTATACTGAT